AAACAGTAGAACGATGGGCTTTACCAAAGAGCTGCCATTTTGTTTCGTCTGTCCACAGCACATTCTCCCAAAAGGATTTTGCCTTCCTCCTAAGTTTTGGCAAACTACAATCTGGTTCTTTAGCCACCATTTGAACAATCTGTTGCAATCTATAGTCAATTTTTCTCTTTCATCCACATCCAGGATGATGAGCTACAGCGTAATGGGCTATAAACTTCTTGACAATGTTGTGCACAATGGACACAGGAACAATGAAATCTGTTAATTGATACAGGTAATTAAAATTAAAAATTACAGAAACATTACAAACTTGGAATGCAACTATTTCTTACAATTTTGAGAAATTGCCAATAATTTTGTCCAGTCCATTTTGGGGGTTTAGAGTGGAATGTGTCAGATTTGGCTTTTTGTTTCCACATTTTTTGTATCATACCAATAAAAACAAATAAAATAAACATGAGCATGCCTCAATATTTGTAATTGCAACAATTATCTGGGCAAAATGGTGCATTATCTAACTGAAATGCAGGGGGGGACAATATTTTTGGCCATGACTGCTCATTGCTATATTTTCCTCTCAGTTGAGATAGTTGCATTCTTCTGGCTGACCACAGGAGAGAGTTAACACATTACTAGATTTTCCATTTACCTGCGATATTTGCATTTTTTTTTAAATGGACCGCATGAGGGAGGAAAAACATTACTACAGCCACTCTCAACCAGGGTTCCTCCAGAGGTGGATAGGTATTCCTGGAGCTGTGATTGATTGGCCTCCTATTTGATGGCGTCCCCATAGTTCCAGGTCTGACTCCGCTTGCAAAAATCCAAAGATCCTTTCGGCTATCTGTAAGCATGGTATTCTGACCATTATTGTTATGGGCATTCTTTCCACTGGCCACCAATGTAAGGGACATTTTCCCCACTGACCGTCAATAAACAGGTTTAGCAGGGGTTCCCAGAGGCCTGGAGATTATTAAGGGTTTTTCTGGGACCAAACGGTTGAGAAAGGTTGCATTGATATAGTTTCAGTTTACCTGGGATAGTTACGTTCTTTAGGTTAATTACTTAAGGGAGCTAACACATTACTACACTGCTCCAAAAAATGAAAGGAGCACTTTGAAAACACCTCAGATCTCAATGGGGAGACACCTCCTGCTGGATATCTATACTGATATGGACGGGGTAATATGTTAGGAACGTAAGGATGGCCCATCTTTTGATGGAAATGAAAATGACCGACCTACAGAGGACTGAATTCAGACACCCCGAAAATCAAAGTGAAAAAATGATGAAGCAGGCGAGTCCATTTTTATGAAATTTCATTGCAGCAACTCAGAATGGTCCTCAGTAGTTTGTATGGCCCCCACGTGCTTGTATGCATGCCTGACAATGTGGGGGGAGGCTCCTAATGAGACGACGGATGGTGTCCTGGGGGATTTCCTCCCAGATCTGGACCAGGACATCACTGAGCTCCTGGACAGTCTGAGGTGCAACCTGGCGGCGTCGGATAGACCGAAACATGACATCCCAGAGGTGTTCTATTGGATTTAGGCCAGGAGAGCGTGGGGGCCATTCAATGGTATCAATTCCTTCATCCTCCAGGAACTGCCTGCATACTCTCTCCACATGAGGCCGGGCATTGTCGTGCACCAGGAGGAACCCAGGACCCACTGCACCAGGAGGAACCCAGGACCCACTGCACCAGTGTAGGGTCTGACAATGGGTCCAAGGATTTCATCCCAATACCTAATGGCAGTCGAGGTGCCATTGTCTAGCCTGTAGAGGTCTGTGCGTCCCTCGATGGGTATGCCTCCCCGGCACAGCTTCTCCAGACCCTTTCACGTCTGTCACATGTGCTCAGGGTGAACCTGCTCTCATCTGTGAAAAGCACAGGGCACCAGTGGTGGACCTTCCAATTCTGGTGTTCAATGGCAAATGCCAATCGAGCTCTATGGTGCCGGGCAGTGAGCACAGGGTCCACTAGAGGACGTTGGGCCCTCAGGCCACCCTTATGAAGTCTATTTCTGATTGTTTGGTCAGAGACATTCACACCAGTGGCCTGCTGGAGGTCATTTTGTAGGACTCTGGCAGGGCTCATCCTGTTCCTCCTTGCACAAAGGAGCAGATACCGGTCCTGCTGATGGGTTAAAGACCTTCTATGGCCCTGTCCAGCTCTCCTAGAGTAACTGCCTGTCTCCTGGAATCTCCTCCATGCTCTTGAGACTGTGCTGGGAGACACAACAAACCTTCTGGCAATGGCACAAATTGATGTGCCATCCTGGAGGAGTTGGACTGCCTGTGCCACCTCTGTAGGGTCCAGGTATCACCTCATGCTACCAGTAGTGACACTGACCCTAGCCAAATGCAAAACTAGTGAAAAACAGTCAGAAAAGATGAATAGGGAAAAAAATATCAGTGGCCCACCTGTAAAAACTATTCCTGTTTTTGGGGTTGTCTCATTGTTGCCCATCTAGTACACCTGTTGTTCATTTCATTAACACCAAAGCAGCTGAAACTGATTACCAACCCCCTCTGCTACTTACCTGACCAGATCAATATCCCAGGAGTGTCATTGACTTGATGCTAGACTCTGATTAAAAAGTGTTCCTTTCATTATTTTGAGCAGTGTATATACAGTGAGGAACAGACGTATTTGAACACCCTGTGAATTTGCAAGTTCTCCCACTTAGAAATCATGGAGGGGTCTGAAATTCACATTGTAGGTGCATTCCCACTCTGAGAGACAGAATTTAAAAAAAAAATTCAGGAAATCACATTGTATGATTTTTAAAGAATTTATTTGTCTTGCACTGCTGAACAGAAGTATTTGAACACCTGAGAAAATCAGTGTTAATATTTGGTACAGAAGCCTTTGTTTGCAATTACAGAGGTCAGACGTTTCCTGTAGTTCTTGACCAGGTTTACACTGCAACAGGTATATGGCCCACTCCTCCACACAGATCTCCTCTAGATCTGTCAGGTTTCGGGGCTGTCGCAGAGCAACACGGAGTTTCAGCTCCCTCCAAACATGTTCTATTGGATTTAGGTCTGGAGACTGGCTAGGCCACTCCAGAACCTTGATTTGCTTCTTACGGAGCCACTCCTTGGTTATCCTGGCTGTGTGCTTCGGGTCGTTGTCATGTTGGAAGACCCAGCCACGACCCATCTTCAATGCTCTGACTGAGGGAAGGAGGTTGTTGCTCAAAATCTCACAATAAATGGCCCCATTCATCATCCTCTCCTTAATACAGTGCAGTCGTCCTGTCCTCTTCGCAGAAAAGCACCCCCAAAGCATGATGTTACCACCCCCATGCTTCACAGTAGGGATGGTGTTCTTGGGATGCAACTCATCCTTCTTTTTCCTCCAAACACGACGAGTGAAGTTTAGACCAAAAAGTCTCATCTGACCACATGCCTTTCTCCCATGCCTCCTGTGGATCATCCAGATGGTCATTGGCAAACTTCAGACGGGCCTGGACATGTGATGACTTGAGCAGGGGAACCTTCCGTGCAATGCATGATTTGAAACCATGACGGCGTAGTGTTCTACCGACAGTGACCTTTGAAACTGTGGTCCCAGCTCTCTTCATGTCATTGACCAGCTCCTCCCTTGTAGTTCTGGGCTGATTCCTCACCTTTCTTATCATCAGTGATACCCCATGAGGTGAGATCTTGCATGGAGCCCCAGTCTGAGGGAGACTGACAGTCGTCTTTAGCCTCTTCCATTTTCTAACAATTGCTCCAAAAGTGCATCTAGTTTCACCAAGCTGCTTGGCAATTGCCCCGTAGCCCTTTCCAGCCTTGTGGAGGTCCACAATTTTGTCTCTGGTGTCTTTTGACAGCTCTGTGGTCTTGCCCATGGTAGTAGTTGGCGTCTGACTGACTGTGGGGTGGACAGATGTCTTTAAAGAGCTCAGACAGGTGCTACTAAGTTAGATTAATGAGTGGAGTAGAGGTGGACTTTTTAAAAGCACAGTAACAGGTCTTGGAGAGCCAGAATTCTTGCTGTTTCTTAGGTGTTCAAATACTTATGTTCAGCAGTGCAAGACAAATACATTCTTTAAAAATCATACAATGTGATTTCCTGAATTTTTAATTCTGTCTCTCAAAGTGGGAATGCACCTACAATGTGAATTTCAGACCCCTCCGTGATTTCTAAGTGGGAGAACGTGCAAAATCACAGGGTGTTCAAATACTTCTGTTCCTCACTGTAGCTTCAATTCAATTGGGATAACTGCATTCTTTATGTTGGCCCACACGAGGGAGGTAACATATTACTGTATCTAATTGAATAAATGCATTCTTTAGGATGACCAGATGAGGGAGCTAACACATTACTATCTTTTCAATTTCATTTGGATATTATGTTGCTTAAGTTGACAACAGGAAAGAGCTAATACACTACTATATTTACAATTTAAAAGCAAACCCCAAACATTCATACTCACCCATGCAATGCAGCAACTATCCTCCGCCGACTCGAAGACCGAGAGCCAAACAATCACATGACCACTGAAGACTTCACTAGGGAGAGAAGGATAGCTGTCAGTCACCGGCTCTGACCCTCCAGCGCTCATTGGAGCACCAGGCTGTGAAGGGGGCGAGATTGGCTGAACCACACTGAGAGGAAGAGCCAGCTGCTGGTTAGGCACCTGGGTGGATCCCGACATTATTGTCCAGATCCCTCCACTGCCTAAACCTGCAGAGTGACGTCAGCCGACAGCAGGCTTTAGCCCTACTTTGATATAAAGTGCAGATGGAAGCAATCAGTAATAGATAAGACACTGTTCTGACTTATTTACTTTTGTTTGCAAATTTCAGCTTGAGTCGCTGAGCTCTGTTGACAGCAGAGGTATTACATCAGTTGCCAGGTAGACACAGGAAAACATACCTTTCTTAAGTGAAATTGAGACATGGCTGGGATGCCAAAATTAGTCTTTTTGTACTTACCTATGGACTAGTTCATGAACTGGAGTTTATATTTGGAAAAACAAATCTAGATGTGCGGTGTCCCCGTGTTGGCAGTGTCTAAGTTAGTGGTGGTTGAAGCCCACTAAATCCAAATTTTTGTCTGCAACTCACATGATTGAATTGTTAAAGTGTTACTAAACCCCGGACCCTGCATTCACTATATCCGGTCTCCCCGGACCCTGCATTCACTATATCTGGTCTCCCCGGACCCTGCATTCACTATATCCGGTCTCCCCGGACCCTGCATTCACTATATCTGGTCTCCCCGGACCCTGCATTCACTATATCTGGTCTCCCCGGACCCTGCATTCACTATATCTGGTCTCCCTGGACCCTGCATTCACTATATCCGGTCTCCCTGGACCCTGCATTCACTATATCCGGTCTCCCCGGATCCTGCATTCACTATATCCGGTCTCCCCGGACCCGGCATTCACTATATCCGGTCTCCCCGGACCCGGCATTCACTATATCCGGTTTCCCCGGACCCGGCATTCACTGTATCCGGTCTCCCCGGACCCTGCATTCACTCTACCTGGTCTCCCCGGACCCTGCATTCACTATATCCTGTCTCCCCGGACCCTGCATTCACTATATCCGGTCTCCCAGGACCCTGCACTCACTATATCCAGTCTCCGCGGACCCTGCATTCATTATATCCGGTCTCCCCGGACCCTGCATTCATTATATCCGGTCTCCCCGGACCCTGCATTCACTGTATCCGGTCTTCCTGTACCCTGCATTCACTATTTCCGGTCTCCCCGGACCCTGCTTTCACTATATCCGGTCTCCCCAGACCCTGCATTCACTATATCCGGTCTCCCCCCAGACCCTGCATTCACTATATCCGGTCTCCCCAGACCCTGCATTCACTATATCCGGTCTCCCCAGACCCTGCATTCACTATATCCGGTCTCCCCGGACCCTGCATTCACTATATCTGGTCTCCCCGGACCCTGCATTCACTATATCCGGTCTCCCCGGACCCTGCATTCACTATATCCGGTCTCCCCAGACCCTGCATTCACTATATCCGGTCTCCCCGGACCCTGCATTCACTATATCTGGTCTCCCTGGACCCTGCATTCACTATATCCGGTCTCCCTGGACCCTGCATTCACTATATCCGGTCTCCCCGGATCCTGCATTCACTATATCCGGTCTCCCCGGACCCGGCATTCACTATATCCGGTCTCCCCGGACCCGGCATTCACTATATCTGGTTTCCCCGGACCCGGCATTTACTGTATCCGGTCTCCCGGACCCTGCATTCACTCTATCTGGTCTCCCCGGACCCTGCATTCACTATATCCTGTCTCCCCGGACCCTGCATTCACTATATCCGGTCTCCCAGGACCCTGCACTCACTATATCCAGTCTCCGCGGACCCTGCATTCATTATATCCGGTCTCCCCGGACCCTGCATTCATTATATCCGGTCTCCCCGGACCCTGCATTCACTGTATCCGGTCTTCCTGTACCCTGCATTCACTATTTCCGGTCTCCCCGGACCCTGCTTTCACTATATCCGGTCTCCCCAGACCCTGCATTCACTATATCCGGTCTCCCCAGACCCTGCATTCACTATATCCGGTCTCCCCAGACCCTGCATTCACTATATCCGGTCTCCCCAGACCCTGCATTCACTATATCCGGTCTCCCCGGACCCTGCATTCACTATATCTGGTCTCCCCGGACCCTGCATTCACTATATCCGGTCTCCCCGGACCCTGCATTCACTATATCCGGTCTCCCCGGACCCGGCATTCATTATATCTGGTCTCCCTGGACCCTGCATTCACTATATCCGGTCTCCCCGGACCCTGCATTCACTATATCTGGTCTCCCAGGACCCTGCATTTACTATATCCGGTTTCACCGGACCCGGCATTCACTATATCTGGTCTCCCACAGTACACACAACATGGAAATGCAATTATTTTAGTAAATATAAACTGCTAAATATCTTTTCTCATCAGCAGTAGTATATAGCAGTCTTGTGACTTCTATTAGTGTCCAGCAGAGCACTGGTTAAAGCTAGTAGCAGGAGTTGCAGGACCCCTGATCCTCTGTCTGGACAGTGCTGATTGGCCCTATGCTGATCACATGCACCCTCCCAAGAAGAAAAAAATTATCTAGCCATATACACTAAACTAAGCATATGCAGCTTGCCCACAATACACTATTCTATCAGCAGATGGATTGGGGACAGTAAAAAAGGGGAGGATCAGAGAAGACAGGATCAAACAGCCTTTATACACAATGCAGAGGATTAACCCCTTAGGTTCCACAGTGAGTATAACAAGCATGCTGCATATACAGACTGATTTTACTGTTGTGGGTTTAATAACACATTAAGAACCTTCTTATTCACAGGACACCCTCCATCACATGTCCCCCCCAAAAATGGGAAATTATCCTTCATTTCAACACAGCGGGTGGAGCCACCCAAATAATTCCTTTATGCCCCATTAGGGCAGGGGATTACCCCCATTTTACCTTCAAATGTATAGAAGTGAAGTGATAACAACACACTTCTATTAATCAGCAGAACAATATCCAGCTTATCATGCTGTTTTTCAAGCTTGAAAGTTGCATTCTGTAGGTTTACCACTTGAGGGAGCTAACACACTACTCTGCTCTCCATCACTGATTGCATTTCTCAGGCTAACCACATGAGGGCGCTAACAGATAATTATATTTTGCAGCAACCTTGATAAATACACATTACAGCATGCCTGTGGCTTTTATTTTGTACCTCCTGCGGACTAAAATAAAGAGTTTAAATATGATGTACCTATTTGGATATATATATATATATATATAATAAAAAAAAAAAATAAATATATATATATATATATATATATATATGCAGTGGGGCAAAAAAGTATTTAGTCAGCCACCAATTGTGCAAGTTCTCCCACTTAAAAAGATGAGAGAGGCCTGTAATTGGCATCATAGGTAGACCTCAACTATGAGAGACAAAATGAGAAAAAAAATCCAGACAATCACATTGGCTGATTTGGAAAGAATTTATTTGCAAATTATGGTGGAAAATAAGTATTTGGTCACCTACAAACAAGCAAGATTTCTGGCTCTCACAGACCTGTACCTTCTTCTTTAAGAGGCTCCTCTGTCCTGCACTCATTACCTGTATCAATGGTACCTGTTTGAACTTGTTATCAGTATAAAAGACACCTGTCCACAACCACAAACAGTCACACTCCAAACTCCACTATGGTGAAGACCAAAGAGCTGTCGAAGGACACCAGAAACAAAATTGTAGACCTGCACCAGGCTGGGACGACTGAATCTGCAATAGGCAAGCAGCTTGGTGTGAACAAATCAACTGTGGGAGCAATAATTAGAAAATGGAAGACATACAAGACCACTGATAATCTCCCTCGATCTGGGGCTCCACGCAAGATCTCACCCCGTGGGGTCAAAATGATCACAAGAATGGTGAGCAAAAATCCCAGGACCACACGGGGGAACCTAGTGAATGACCTGCAGAGAGCAGGGACCAATGTAACAAAGGCTACCATCAGTAACACACTATGCCGCCAGGGACTCAGATCCTGCAGTGCCAGACATGTCCCCCTGCTTAAGCCAGTACATGTCTGGGGCCGTCTGAAGTTTGCTAGAGAGCATTTGGATGATCCAGAAGAGGATTGGGAGAATGTCATATGGTCAGATGAAACCAAAATAGAACTGTTTGGTAGAAACACAACTCGTCGTGTTTGGAGGAGAGAGAATGCTGAGTTGCATCCAAAGAAAACCATACCTACTGTGAAGCATGGGGGTGGCAACGTCATGCTTTGGGGCTGTTTCTCTGCAAAGGGAACAGGACGACTGATCCATGTACAGGACAGAATGAATGGAACCATGTATCGTGAGATTGTGAGTGCAAACCTCCTTCCATCAGCAAGGGCATTGAAGATGAAACGTGGCTGGGTCTTCCAACATGACAATGATCCCAAACATACCGCCCGGGCAACGAAGGAGTGGCTTTGTAAGAAGCATTTCAAGGTCCTGGAGTGGCCTAGCCAGTCTCCAGATCTCAACCCCATAGAAAACCTTTGGATGGAGTTGAAAGTCCGTGTTGCCCAGCGACAGCCCTGAAACATCACTGCTCTAGAGGAGATCTGCATGGAGGATGGGCCAACATACCAGCAACAGTGTGTGCCAACCTTGTGAAGACTTACAGGAAACGTTTGACATCTGTCATTGCCAACAAAGGATATATAACAAAGTATTGAGATGAACTTTTCATATTCACCAAATACTTATTTTCCACCATAATTTGCAAATAAATTCTTTCCAAATCAGCCAATGTGATTGTCTGGATTTTTTTTCTCATTTTGTCTCTCATAGTTGAGGTCTACCTATGATGCCAATTACAGGCCTCTCTCATCTTTTTAAGTGGGAGAACTTGCACAATCGGTGGCTGACTAAATACTTGTTTGCCTTACTGTATATATACACACATATATATATATTATGCCGGGCCAATATTCCATTAAGGCAATCCATTAATTTAACTAGGCTGTCAATTGCAGCGCAAAAGAATGAAAAACAAACATGCCGCATTTCAGGTAAAGCAGGTGCATTCCCTTGGAGGTGCATTGGAGTACCAATAAAAATGAACGGTGCTGCAACATGTTCATACGTGTACCGTGCTCTGCTGAGCATTGCAGGAATGTAAATGATGTCTTACCACAAAGAGGTGCGAATTGGTCATTAGGGACCACTCATTTAGGGTCACTCATTGACACCCATACCAGCCCTCCTTAACCACTTGAGCTTTGTAATAAAAAAAGTTTGGAAAAAATAAATAAATAAATAAAAATAATAACAATAACAATAAAAATAAAAAAATAAAATAAAAAATAATAATAATACATATATATATATATATATATATATATATACATATACACACACACACACAGTATAATTAGGATAGTTATGCTCCTTAAGTTGACCACAGGAAGGAGCTAATACATTACTATACAGTGATACCTCTGTTTACGTATTTAATGAGTTCTCCGGGACGTTGCGAAAAATTCGTAAACTGAAATGTGGTTTCCCATAAGAATGCATTGAAAACCAATTAATCCGTTCCAGAGGTAAAAAAAAGTCTTTTATCTGTTCAAAACTCTTTATAAAGTGCACTTTAAAGGCATAAATACTGTAGAGGAGCATGCTAAAACATTTCCAGAATGGCTCCACATTCAAAAACAGCTCCAACACCTCCACACTCTACGCCACGTGCTACCCACAGACACCGGCATGCACAGGGGGCAGTGCTATAAACCTCCCAGGTGCAATTCATCCTGCAGAAACTTG